TTGCGGTCATCGTTTGGCAATGTATACATTTATCAAATCATTATGTTGTACATCTAAAACAAATACAGTGTTAGATATCAATTATATCCTACTTAAAAAAAGAATATATCCCCAATACATGTTCAAAACCACCCCCCCAACCCCAAAAAAGAACTCTTGTCTCTACATTACCAATGGAGAACAAACCACCAACTCTGAAATAATTGGGGCATGGGAAACCTTTTGCATGGACAGAAGGCTTGACTTTTCACAGAAATGAGCCCCTCAGACAGAATTTTTACTTATTGTTTCTGGAAGCTATGTTTACCCAGTTGCATTGTCACAACTATGAACTAGAAGCAGCTCTAACTTATACTAGGAATAAGTGGTCCTGAAGCACTCACTTACATAGAAATTTTAATTTAAGAAAACTAAGAATATGGAAAAGTTATGCTTATATAAATATTAAATATCACATTATGGACAGTAACTCAATGTTGCTTTAGTTAATAATCACAGATCCCATTTTGGGGGGGCAGTTTTCAGCATTGCCATGTTTTAGGCACTATGCTAAGTATTTCTCATGCATGTCCCTTTCATTTGCACAATGACCCTATGAGGTGGGCACCATCCCCCTCTAGTCGATGAAGAAACAAGGTGCAGAGCAACTGAGTCACTTCCTGAAGTCACACCACTAATAATTAACCAGGTCTGACGAAGGTCCAGACTTTTCACCTATAGTGCATAAACTAAACAGTCTGTAAAATCGGGCTCCAAAACAAGTTTTTTGTTTTGTTTTGTTTAAGATTTTAATTATTTATTTGACAGAGACACCGAGAGAGGGAACACAAGCTGGGCGAGGAGAGGGAGAAACAGGCTCCCCTCTGGGCAGGGAGCCCAATGCGGGGCTCGATCCTAGCACCCTGGGATTATGATCTGAGCCGAAGGCAGATGCTTAATGACTGAGCCACCCAGGCGCCCCATTCTTATTTTTTAAAAGAACTGAAAGCACTTTGAAACAAGTGTTGGAAAATGTCACCAGGATTTGGTAAGATTATGATCAAATGTTCACTGAGCTCCCAGTAGGCATCCTGTATTGCTAGATTCTGGGATACAGAAATCAATAAGAAATAGTTCTCATTTCTCAAAAAATTCAGTGATGTTGGTGGGGGACACAGGTACAGTGACAGACCATAATACATGACAGAAAGTATAACAACAGGGAGATACAGGATATTACAGAAAGATGAGGAATGGTACTTAATCTAGCCAGCGTGTGGCAGGAAGTTTACTGGAGGAAGAATGGTGAAGAGTTGCCAGCCGAAGAGGGTGGGCTGCTCATCCCAGACAGAGAGCAGAGCCTGGCATGGACTAGAGGCAGGAAGTAGGGCAATAGTACGGTAACAGGCGAGACTTGCAAAAAGGTCCGGGTGGTTGAAGCACGGAGTGAGAGGCAAGGCACAGGTAAGGCTGGGGAGGCGGGCAGGGTCCAAATCATGAAGAAATTGAAATGAGTGAAGGGTTTTAAGCAGGGAAACAAGCTCAGAATTATCCTTTAGGGGCACCTGGGTGGCTCAGTGGGTTAAGCCTCTGCCTTCGGCTCACATTATCTCAGGGTCCTGGGATCGAGCTCCACATCAAGCTTTCTACTCCGCAGGGAGCCTTTTTCCCCCTCTCTCTCTGCCTGCCTCCTTGCCTACTTGTCATCTCTCTCTCTGTCAAATGAATAAGTAAAATCTTTAAAAGAAAAAAAAAAAAAGAATTATCCTTTAACTAAATTAAATCCCTCACGGGCTATGTGAAGTATGGGCTTAGAGTCACACAGCCCAAGGTTCAACTCCTGGCTCTACAGCTTATTAACTGTGAACTTTGGCAAGATACAAAACCTTCTAAGGGGGTGCCTGGGTGGCTCAATTGGTTAAGCATCTGCCTTCAGCTCAGGTTGTGATCTCAGGGTCCTGGGATTGAGCTCACTGGGGAGTATGCTTCTCCTTCTCCCTCTCCCCACTGCTTTTGCTTGTGTTCTCTCTCGCAAATAAATAAATAAAATCTTAAAAAAAAAAATTAAACCTCTAAGCTTTAGTCTTGTCACCTGTAAAATGGGGGGGGGGGTAAATGAGGTAACGAATATAAAGCACTGGAACACAGTAAATGCTCCATAAAGGGGAGCTCTTATTATCGCTGATAATATTAAAAGACTAGAAGTTCAGGGAGACCCATAAGGGAGCCTAGATGAGGCACACTGAGGCCCTGAATAGCAATGAAAAAAACTGGACAATCTCAAACAGATGCAGGAAACAGAAATGATAAAATGTGATGACCACCTGGCTACGGGAGTAAGGGTGTGAGGGGAGGAAGAGTGGTCAGTGAGCTCTAGGTCTAGGTTGGGTGACTAAAGGCCGGTGCCTGGTGGTGCCCCTGACAAAGAGAGTTAGGGAGGCAGAACAAGCCTGAGAATCTGACTTATATGGAGGAGGAAGTGTGTGTTTGGAAGTAGACAGCCAGCAGGCAAAGGGATGATCCGGAGTCTAGGGTGCAGAGGAGGCTTGGAGCTAAAAGAAGGGGGTGTCACAAGTATCTCACAGCATGGGAAGAGAAGAGATCACCCACAGAGGGCATATTCAGTCAGAAGAGCAAAGAGTTAGGCCAGGCTCTCGGAAAACCCACAGTGAAGAGTCAAGGAGAGAAAGAAAAGCCCCCAAAGAAAGAAGAGAACCATAAAGTACAAGAAGAGCCACAACAGCTCAGTGTAATGGAAACTGAAGGAGCAGGACCTAATGGAGGGAGTCATCAGTAGTGCCCATGTAGTCGAGAAGTTCAGTAAGTTCCAAACATCCTCAGAATTTAGCAGAAACTGTTGCTGATTTTAGACCAAAGGGCACTTTTACTAGGACAAGGAGATACAACTGCTGGTCTAAGGTATTAACGGGAGTGAGGAAGTGGAAAGCGTCCACCGCAAATCTGGTAAAAGGGATAGAGAGGAATTAAGTAGTGGTAAGAGAGGAATGTAGGGTCAAAGATTAGGTTACAAATTATTTTTAGGATGGCGTACCCTGAGCATTTTGTGAGAAGGAAAAGGTGGATGACAGAGAGTGATGATGCGGGAGAGAGAATCACTGACAGAGCAAGGTCCTTGAGGAATTAAAAAGGAATTTTTAAGTATCCACTATGTGTCCAGGCACCATGCTAGGTCCTGGGGACACTTGTCCACAAACTGTCAGAGCAGAGTGTGGCATGAACACCAATCTGGAGCGCATCTGTCCAGAGGAGCTCAGAAGGGGGCCCATCTGACTGGGGCTTTCCTAAACCCAAGCTTGTGCCTGCTCACCTTTCTACTCTCATTGTCCAACCCCGTGTCTGGCACCAACCTGCCAGGCATTCGGTAATGTTCCTGATATGAATGAATACATAGACTGGTCAGAAACTTTATTTCTAGGGGCAGAAATTTTATAAAGAGGTATGAAAATACATTCTAAGAAAAAGGAAATTGGGGCACTAAAATATAATAAAACATGAATTAAAATGTAGCACACATGCTCAGAAAACATGCATCTACAGACAGCTGAAGGTTAGGAGAATGGGGAGAATGGAGCACAAGGTTTAATCACATGGAAAAGGCCTGAAATGGTTCTAGGACTCTCTCTGGCCAAATGTACCCCTTAATCTGCAAGCTTATGCTTAAAATTTATTTAACCATCTAAGAAGGGACAAAACTGTTCATCTCAAAATTGCAGATAAAGGATTAAAAAGGAAACGTGTGTGAAATGATACATCAGCTAAAACCACTTTACTGGTTATGTGACACAGCCCAGGTTCCATAACCTCTGAGAAAACAGACCGTGTGGCAGATGAAATCCCAAGCCCTTTTCAAATCTCTTGCTCAAAGGTTCTAAAGCAATGCTTCTTAGCCTTTTGGGGATCACATACTCCTGTGGGAACCTAATGAAAGCTACATATTCTACCCAGCCACCCCTCAAATAAATATAGATACAAGCACACAAAATTCCGCAAATCATGAGAAACCCCTGACTATAGACCTTCTTCCTAGCAGGAAATAAGCCGAGGTGCAGCTGTTTACAATGAAGATGCTTTGTCTTCCTTAAAATTAATGGAACCAGGTATCAGAGTGACCCTGCAAGACCTACAGGGGGTAGTTTGCTGCGTGTCCACCTATGTGTCCTTCTGAACCAAGCCTCCTCATCTCTAAACTCCACAGTGCCAAGCGCTGTGCCCTGAATATAGTAAGTACCCACTTAATTTGTGAATTAAGTCGAAAGAATCAAACATGGTTCTGGAGTTTTCAGACATTCGGTGCTTCCTGAGGTCAACTGCAAATCCTCCCTTTCAGAGACAAGTCTAAACTCACAGAAACCACCATGGGCTTATTCTACAAAATCTGTCAAATTTCAGGAACTGATTTCTATTTGATTAGAAGGGTTTAGCCCACCCCAGACAAGGAAGCTGTACCTCAGTTCTGAAGCAGAATTTGATGACCCACCTCTTCCCCTCCCAAAGAAAACACACTTATTTGCTTTTTGTAGAAATTCCTAACGTTTATATAACTCTTTATACTTAGATTTTTCCAATCCCTCTTACCTTCATTCAGTATTCATTTGGGAAATGGCAATATATGTAGTACTCCATTTTAAACATAAGAAAAGAGCATATAATATTTAAGTGATCACAGAGAGGGCTTTCCACATAGCCCAGAACAAGGACCCCAAGCCACATTTTAAAGAATATGCTAGTGCTTCTGTCATCCTTATAACAAGGTGAGAGGGGCCTCTTTACATTGACAGAATGAAACACCTGTGACATTTAATAAATTGTTCAACGATAACACCTAGTAGTACCTGTCATTTAAGAAACCAAAAGCCATGCCAATGTAAACAATTTTATATACAATGATTAAATAGCTTTGTTTTTTCAATATTCAGTCATAATCAAATTGACCTATTATTTATGACTTTTTAAAAAAGCAGAGCCTACTGTATATAGTAGGGGGAAAATTCCATACTTACCTACTGCACAATGTAAAATCTAGAGAAAAAAAGGTGGGGGGGGAAGAATTAGTAAAGATCAATAACAACATATAGTTCCTATAAACTTTTCAGTATTAGACTTAAAAAACACACATTTCATTTTTAAACTTGGTTATTTAACAAAATGTACATTCTTATTTATTTTTGTTGTTCCTTTTTAGTTTGTGAATCTGTGGAAGATTTCCTAAGAAATAAATCTTACCCAGTAGTCTACCAGACGTCATGAATCTCTTTTACAATCATAAACTTCTAAGAGCAATAGGTATCCCTCTTCCATGGCCCATATTCTACAGAACAGAACGGTCACAGACTACAAAACACAGAGTCAGAAGAGCCTTTGTTGGCTCTTCTTACCGGGCAGGCCCTTCAATGCAGATATTCATTCAACCTACAAAGCTCACAGTGAGACTCCATCTTGTCTCACTTGGTGACCTCATTACAGGCATTTTCCCAGTCCAATATGTGACCCTAGATTTCTTCATGCTCCAGGCCCACACTGCAAACTGGCTTTGGACATCTCCATCTAGGTGTACTAGCAGCACCTCAAACATGGCATGCCTCTTCAAGAAACTCCCCTTTCCTTCCCTCATACTTGCTATGCTTTTTGATCATCAACCTCCCAGTCTCCCAAGTTCAGCTGTTCTCTTGTTCCCTGACCTACAAGTCCTACTAGTTTCTAAGTCCTACCAATACTTCTGGCATCAGTCTTCCCTGTTTTCATTTCCAGTGCCTTGGATGAGACTGCTACCTCCTTTCCTTCTCAGTGGTCATCCAAGTGGCTAATTAGGTTATTGTAAATTATCTTCTAATCCATCCTGTATATGGCATTGCTTTAACCCAGGTGGTGGTTTCGGTAAAGATAGAATCTAAGGAGCTGGGTTCGAGATGGTGGTGTAGCAAGACCTGAACTCACCTCCTCTGTGGATACAAATCTACAGCTAATTGTAGAATAATCCTTCCTAAAAGGGACCTGAAAGGTCAATGAACAGGAGCCTTCACAACAAAGAATAAAAAGATAGCAGCAGGATGGGAAAGAGGGGCAGAAACACAGACTGGCTAGGGAATAAAACAAACCCAGCTATGGTGGGTCACAATTGGGAGGGGCATCAAAAGTATAGATTTTTCCCAGAGGATCAAAGGTACCTGAGTTCTATGTCTGGCACCCAAATCCTTAGATCCTGCACAGGAGAGACGAGCCCCCAAAACACTAGGTTCTGAAAATCAATACGAACCACCTTTACAAGGTCTATAAAGCTGCAGGAAACAGAAAACCTGATCTTAAAGGGCCCATACACAGACTCACTCATCCCAGAAACCAGTGTAAAACATCAACTTGAAGCGTACATAGAGCACAGATTAAGGAGAATCATTTGCTAACCTTAAAAGCATCTGCCTGAAGAGGCAGGAAACAGCAGGGACTCTCTCTGGAAACTGACACCAGTGGGAGCAATTTTTGCAATTCAAGTCTACCTTACTAATGTGGGTGCTGGTGGGCACCATTTTGGAATTCCTCTAAAATTCTAGTAACAGTGGGAATACCCTGCAGAGCACCCAGCCCACAGACACCCTGCAGTAGCTGCAGATACCTGCAGCCCAACCAAGTGTCAGAGTAGCCCACTAACCACAGCCCCAGGCCCTGGCACAGCAGGAGGGCACGCACAGCCCACAAAGGAGACACCCCTTGAGCACCTGGTTTTGATGACTGAGAGACTGTATTTCTGGGCCAAACAGTACCATAAGATCACTCATTCAAGACTGGGAGAGGTAGCTGACTTACCTCATCCAGAGAAACAAACACAAAGAGTTAGGCAAGATGAGACAGAGTAATATGTTCCAAAGAAAAGAACATGACAAAAATCTCAGAAAAAGAACCAAATGAATCAGAGATAAGCAATCAGCCTGATTTAAAAAGTTCAAAGAAATTATCATATAGATGCTCAGTAAACTCAGTAGAAAACTGGTTGAACACAATGAGAACTTAAACAAAGATATAGAAAATTTACGAAAGTACCAAACAGAACTTTGAAAAATAAACTGGAAGGGTTCAAAAGCAGACTGGATGAAGTAGAAGAATGCATCAGCAAGCTGGAAGACAAAGCAAGGGAATTTGCCCAGAAAGAATAGCAAAATGAAACTAAAAAATTGAGACGAGTCAAACAGATAGAGGGGATGAAGAAGCTCAAACTTTCGGTTATAAAATAAATTAAGGATTCCAAACACCTACAAATCCAAGAGAAGAGAAGAAGAGTGGCAATTCTAGAAACAGAAAATCAACCACATTCTGAAAGGTAGGAACGGTGGAGAAGTGAATCCAAAGTGACGGGAAGATAGACCCCGGCGGGAGGGGCCGGCTCCCAGCAAGCAGCCGAGCAACAGAGCACAAAATCAGAACTTTTAAAAGTCTGATTCACTGAGGGACATCGCTCCAGAGGCTAAGCTAGGGTGAAGCCCAGGTGGGGACAGTGTGGTGTCAGGTCCCACGGGGTCACAGAAGGTTCAGGGGTGTCTGAGTGTCCTAGAGCTCACAGGTATTAGAGCAGGGAAGCTGGCTATAGAGACAGAGCCGGGGAGTGAACTCTCAATTTGGGATTACCTTGAACCGTAATCCGTGGCACAGTCAGACCACTGCTCTGTGAGCAGGGACCCCACAAAAGCTGGGGAGAACCCCCCCACCAGAAGAGTGGCAGGGATCTGCTGGGTTTGGAGACTCCAGGTGGGGCTGTGTTGCCACAGACACTTAGTCACAGGCTGCGTGAACTTGGAATACAACCAGAGGCCAGAGAGACGGGAGTGATTGAGCGCTTTTCTCTTAGGGCGCACTGAGGACTGGGGCCCTGAGCTCTTGGCTCTTCCGGGCCGGGGATTGGGAGGCCGCCATTTTCATTCTCGTCCTCCAGAACTCTATGGAAAGTGTTCAGGGAACAAAAGCTCCCAAAAGCGAGCCCACACGGATCACTTAGCCCGGCCCCTGGTAAGGGTGGTGCAATTCCGCCTCAGGCAAAGACACTTGAGAATCACTACAACAGGCCCCTCCCCCAGAAGATGTGGAAGAAATCAAGCCAAGACCAAGTTCACTTACCGAGGAGAACAGCAGAATTCCAGAGGAGGAGAAAGCAAAGCACGGAATTCATGGCTTTCTCCCCATGATTCTTTAGTCTTGCAAAGTTAATTAATTTTTTTAATTTTATTTTTTTCTTATTCTAAAATTTTTTTAACTTTTACTCTTTTCCTCTTTTAACATTTTTAAACTAGTTTATCTTAACAATATCTTTCATAAATCTTTTCTGAACCTTCATTATTTAGTCATATTTTATCCTTCATTGTATCTAACTTTATATTTTGTATACACATAGGGTTTTTTCTTCTAAAAAAATCTGGGATACAACTTCTTCTAATAGATCAAAATATACTCTAAATCTAGCACAGGGCTTCGTTCTAGTCTACACCCTGAGCAAATTCTCTCTACTTTCTTTTTCTTTATTCTCCCAACCAACTTATCAACTCCTTTTTTAGAGATTTTTTTAAAAAATTTTCATCTTTACAGTCATATTCCATCCCTTCATCATGTTTACCTTTATTTTGTGTATATACACACAAAATAAGGGTATATATGTATATATATACATATGTATACACACACACACACACACACACACACACATATATGTTTTTCATTCTTTAAAACTTTGAGAGGTAGTTTCTTCTAAGAGACCAAAATACTCCCAAAATTAAGTGGGTGACTCTGTTCTATTCACCAGTCTAATATATATATTTTCTTTTTTATATTTTTTCCTTTTTAAAAATTTTTTTCTTCTGAACTTCTTTTTACTCTCTTCCTTCCCCCCACAATTTGGGATCTCTTCCAACTGGTTAAAGCACATTTTCCTGAGGTCTTTGCCACCCTTTTAATATTTTATGCTCTCCTTCATATACTCTTATCTGGATGAAATGACAAGGAGGAAAAACTCACCACAAAAAAAAGAACAAGAGGCAATACTGAAGTATAGGGACCTAATCAATATGGACATTGGTAATAAGTCAGATCTAGAGTTCAGAATGATGATTCTCAAAGTGCTAGCTGGGCTCGAAAAAGGCACAGAAGATATTAGAGAAACCCTGTCTGGAGAAATATAAGCCCTTTCTGGAGAAATAAAAGAACTAAAATCTAACCAAGTTGAAATAAAAAAAGCTATTAATGAGGTGCAATCAAAAATGGAGGCTCTCACTGCTAGGATAAATGAGGCAGAAGAGAGAATTAGTGATATAGAAGACCAAATGACAGAGAATAAAGAAGCTGAGCAAAAGAGAGACAAACAACTACTGGACCACAAGGGGAGAATTCGAGAGATAAATGATACCATAAGATGAAACAACATTAGAATAACTGGGATTCCAGAAGAAGAAGAAAGAGAGAGGGGAGCAGAAGGTATATTGGAGAAAATTACTGTAGAGAATTTCCCTAATACGGCACATGGAACAAGCATCAAAATCCAGGAGGTGAAGAGAACACCCCTCCAAATCGATAAAAATAGGTCCGCACCCCATCATCTAATAGTAAAATTTACAAGTCTTAGTGACAAAGAGAAAATCCTGAAAGCAGCCCGGGACAAGAAGTCTATAACATACAACGGTAAAAATATTAGATTGGCAACAGACTTATCCACAGAGACCTGTCAGGCCAGAAAGGCATGATATATTCAGAGAACTAAATGAGAAAAACATGCAGCGAAGAATACTATATCCAACTTGGCTATCATTGAAAATAGAAGGAGAGATAAAAAGCTTCCAGGACAAACAAAAGCTAAAAGAATTTGTAAACACCAAACCAGCTCTACAGGAAATATTGAAAGGGGTCCTCTAAGCAAAGAGAGAGCCTAAAAGAAGTAGATCAGAAAGGAAAAGAGACAATATACAGTAATAGTCACCTTAGAGGCAATACAATGGCACTAAATTCATATCTCTCAATAGTTACCCTGAAAGTAAATGGGCTAAATGCCC